TCTTTGGGCACCAGGATGGCGGAGCTCGTGATATTCCCCAGGGCTGCCGCCACAGGGGGCACCAGCGCCACAGGGCACGACAGCACCACCGAAGACCCGGACCCCTCTTGCCTGCTCCCCGTGCTTTCACCGCCACTATTCCCTCTGCTGCTGATCTTTTCACTATAAAGACTGCTTCCCCCACTGCTGCTGGCGGCTGCTCTTCTGAGCCCAGAAAACGGCAGCCGGAGCGTGATGTCTCTGGATAGGCCCCCCTTGGCGAGCTCGTAGGTGCCGAAGTAGATGGAGGAGGAGAGCACGGACCCCAGGAAGGCCGCCGGCAGCCCGCGGTAGAACCCCCGATGCCCTGCGCGGCTGACACCTGCAGGGGGAGGCCGGAGGGAGGGATGGTGGGCTAAAACAGCAGGTGGCACGCGGTAGAACTCCCCGATGCCCTGCGCCGCTGACACCTGCAAGGAGGCATTGGGGAGGAACGCCGAAAAGGGAGAGTGGAAAGGGAGAGTGAAATGCCTCTCTCTCTCTCTCTCTCGAGAAAGCCCCCCTTGAAGATCAGCATCCAACATCGCTCCAACCCTCCATACGGATGACACGTCAGCACTCAAGTCACCTTGCAGATAACGCCTAGAGGCCCCGACTAGACGAGCGACGAGCCCTTGCTTTGCCGACTCGTCTTCACCGTGTCCAGCGGATGCAGCGTCGCGTTCGTGAACCCACCAGCTAACCCCCCCCCCCCCACACCATTCTTCCTAACCTTACAGATGACAATAACATTCACACTCACTTTGTGGATGACGTCCAGGCGGCCCGAGTACACGAGCAACGAACCCTTGGTCTGCAGCTTCGTCTTCACCGTGTCCAGCGGATGCAGATCCACCGGCTGGCAACCCTCCCACCACCAATCCCACTCACCTTCAGATAACACGTCAGCACTCACACTCACCTTCCGAATGACGTCTAGAGGCCCCGAGTACACGAGCGACGACCCCTTGGTCTGCAGCTTCGTCTTCACCGTGTCCAGCGGATGCAGCGTCGCGTTCGTCAATCCCCCGGCCAGCCCTCCCGCCAGGGCTCCGATTCCTGACGCACAATTGGGCGGGGTGGAGGGATAAACACGCGGTGAGGAGATTAACCTTGGGCTGTCTCAAGTCCATTTTCCTGCAGCAAAATTGTACGGCGGGTTGGAGGATAGGCACAAGGTGAGGTGGAGAAGAGAGCCGAGGTGACGACTCTCGAGTCGAGTCGAGTCGAGGTGCGAGCGAGGTGCGAGGAGCGAGACGAGAGTGGCGAAGGGACACGAGATACGAGAGAAGAGGCCAATCGATGGTGATCGGAAGACTTCAGGCCTCAGAGGGGATAATCCACGGCTCTTGTTCATCGCCACTTGATTGATCTCAAGGGTTCATTCTCGGTATCGACACTGACCCGCTCGCTCCCATAACGGTACCTGTTTGAGCAGCACGCGAGTCTGGCCTCGGAGAGCTGTCAGGTAAGCTCCCAGCGGGCTAGAATTTGGTCACACGCACTGATATTCGGTACGCGAAACGCACCTGCTCGCTCCCACAGCGGCAGCTGCTTCAGCAGCACGCGCGTCTGGCCACGGAGAGCTTTCAGGTAAGTTCACAGCCGCTTGGGATCCACAGCGGTCAGCACTTTTAAAGCCTAAAATACAGGAAGTTTTTTTTTTTGTACGGGCCTCCAAGTCATTCTCGGTACCAAAACGCACCTGCTCGCTCCCACAGCGGCAGCTGCTTCAGCAGCACGCGACACTGGCCCCCGAGAGCTTTCAGGTAAGCTCCCAGCCGGTTTAGTATCTGGTCACGCGCATTGATATTCGGTTAGCAAAACGCACCTGCTCGCTCCCATAGCGGCAGCTGCTTCAGCAGCACGCGAGTCTGGCCCCGGAGAGCTTTCAAGTAAGCTCCCAGCCGCCTGGGATCCACAGCGGTCGGCGCGCTTCCTCCTGCCGCTCCCCCACCTCCCCACCCTAGCGCCACCATCACCGATCCTGCTTCCCGCCAGAATTTCACCAGCCAGGCCGGTCTTTTGTCGTCAGGTGAGGTGTCAGAATCTGATTGGTCGTTTCTGGCGGTTTTGGATTGGCCGGTAGGTGTTGGGGTGTGGGAGGAGAGGGACTGCGAGACGGAAGCGAAGGGTGTGGATCTGAGAGTGACCGCCTTGATAGGTTTGCGGGATTTCCGTTTTGAGATGGATTTCATACTGACGAACGATACTTGTGAAGTTTTTCTCGTGTCTAGCTTTGGGAAATCCGAAAATATACTGTCAGAATCCAAGGACGGTGATACGACTGAGGTTGAAGAAACGATATCTGTCGCTGAACACGAGGAATCGTGAACACGAAGATCCATGGCGGAAAATTGAGAATTACTACGTCCTACACACTGTAAGAGGGCGCAATTGTGAAATCGGCTCCTATGTCAGCGGGAAGCTAAATACATGATGCCTGACTAAGGCTCCAGTGTCTAGGAAGTCCAGAATACCTGCAATGGATGGGAGGTAACAAAATAAGCGACATACGTAATCTGGTACAAATAACCGATTTATATCGTATTGTAAACTCTCAGAGACTCAATAGGCCGATCAGCACCGTAATGGTTGCCAAGCTTTCAACCGTGAAGTCACTGCTGTTATAGGTGATCCTTCAAATGAGCGATGCAACAGACGACAGCCAATGAGTGGGTTGAGTCACCCGCGCACAGATCTCTCGTCCAATGAAACTGCAGTCTATGTTGTCAGCACATCTGCTGATCGAATGGTGTGGCGGGAAGCTTCAACGAAAACGTTTGCGTAAGATCGCTACAAGATGTCTGTAATATAGCGAGTGCCCAACGAGAAATAGTGTAGGCAGCCTGTGCGAAGAATTTACAGTAAGTAGAAACGAATGAGCCAGTAACGGGAGACGAGGGAGCGACATGATCTCCGCTGTGCTGACTCAACATTTCCATGAGATGCTGGCACGATGGTGACGTCCAATTTGTCCTTGGGCACGTCAGCCGACAGAAGAGGTGGCCGCATTGAAACAGCCATCCAGTCCACACGAACACTGCTGCTGCGAAGTGGAACCATGTCTACTGTCGCGTTGGCACTGCCAGCATTGCAGAGTTGTCGGTGCAGGGCTGCAAGGAAATTCCCTTTTCCTTCTTCTTTGTTACCACTGCTAAAAGAGAAACTTAGCTGATACTTAGCCGGGAAATGTGGACTGTACTGTATTCAGCCGAGTTCCTAGCATTTTGCGTTGATACATACTGAAATTGGGCGACATGGCATCCCAGGTTCCTCCCTGGTCGGCCATGAAGGACCACAGAGCGGTTTACAGCAATGACACAGCCATGGCTCCTACATAATCACCTCTGCTGGCTACTTCATTCCACACTACTTCCTTCCAGCATCCATCATCACTGTTTCGTTCTCACCGTAGTCATAATCCTCTGTCACACACCATCGACTCTTTCTTTTGTTTCGTATTAGTTGGTTATTCAACCTTGGCCTGTATTCCAGCCTGTGAAAATCTTGCGTTGAATAGCATTGTAGCCATCGCGTGACAGCAGGCACATCAACGTCCATCCGAAACCGCCGCAAATGGCGCTGGCCATTTTCGACGAATCGCTCATCGAGCTACCGTGCGACGTCAATTACGACGCTTCCAAGTGTGCCACATCAGCAGAACTCCTCAAGGATTTTCTGAAGCGCCATCCCAACGCCGCAACTGTGCAGCTCGGCGCGCAGGCCGTGCTGGGCTTCTCGCACGACGGCGACAGCTGCTTCCATCGCACGCAGCTCGCCGCGTCCGGCGACGTCTTCTGCGTCTTCACCGGTCGCATAGACAACGTCGCACAGCTACGACGGTCGTACGGCGTCGCAGGCGGCCACGGGCACGACACGAGCGAGTCGCAGCTCGTTGTCGGGATGTACAAGGCACTGCGAAACTCCTTGGGAGAGCATCAACCGATTTCCGCGGAAGCGGCGCTGGCGGAGATGGTGGGGCCGTTTTCGACGGTGATTTACGACAACGAATGGGGACACGCTTTCATCGCCGCGGTGAGTTCTAAGAACCTCATTTCTTCCGGTGAGTAGGAAACGCAGGGAATCGCAGAGTACACAGTGGGAAGAAGATATGTGGAAACCCGTGGGAAGTTACGGCGAATGTCACGGCGCATTTAAGTGGTAGTGTCCTTTTCGTGCAGTTTATCCCTTGCTGTTTGTTTCTGCTGTACCTCTAGTGATTCCCATGGCGGCTTTTGCACCCCTTCCCTTCCCTTCCCTTCGCTTCCTTTCCATTTGCATCTCCCGTTTCAAGCCTCGCCTCGTTCTGTTTGTCGCCTCCGTTTGTGTGTGTCTCGGTACAATCACAGGACGGCGACAGCCACGTGGAGCTGCACTGGGCCATGTGTCACGACCGACGCATCGCCGTGTCGCACGACGTCGACCTGCTGCGAGCATGCTGCCCCACCACCCACGCGCCCTTCCCCCCAGGTACTGTAGCCACTCCTTCCGCGTAGACATGACACCAGGGTCCAGGGCTCACCTCGCTACTGTCACCGGCCGGCCCTGCCTCTTCCCAATTTTCTGCCAGTGTCTGCTGCTATCCTGCGCGCCCTGCTGCTCTTCTTGCGCCTGTGTGTCTCCAGCATTTTCTCATACCCCCTTCCTCTAACCCCCTCCCCCCCTCCCCCCTCCCCCCCTCCCCTCCTCCCTTCCCCCCTTTCCCTTCCCCCGCACCCCCTCAGGCTGCTTTTTCTCCACCTCAGCTGGTCTCTGTAGTTTCGAGGACCCGGGGAGGGAATTCCGCCCCGTGCCGCACGTCGACAGCTCCGGTCGCATCTGCGGCTCCCGCTTCGTGCCTGTCGAGGCTTCGCCCGAGCCTGTTACATGCGGCCGCGTTACGAGTACACTAGGGAATATTGGTAGTGAGACCGATTTAACAGCAATTTAGCCAGGGGTCACTCACAATTTCTATACCAATTATTAATAGCATTTTCTTCAAATTCTTCCACTCTAGTGATAGCATGTCCATTGCGTGTGCAGTTTCTTGTTTCGAGAAATTCAGACGACTGCTCACCAAATAGCAACATAATGGTCTAGTACTAAACTTCCAATACATCCTACCACCCTTGCTGCAGTACTTATGAATGTGTTGGCAAATGACAAGGCTTCTGTTTTGTCCTGGCTCCAAGCGAGAATATATGTTGCAACAGTCGTTTACGCTGCATGCGGAAAGAACTGGGAGATAGGAGGAAAAATGTGAGAAATCAGGGATGGACGGAATAGGGGAGGAAGGGGCAGAACGAGCGAGCATGGAAACAGATTGAAGGGAGGTGGAAGGATGCCAGCAGTGGTGTGCTCAGGAGGATCTATTGGATTTAAGAAACTCATTCAGTGCTTCTTGCACTGTCTCTTCATTCCCTCAAGGGGTTTCCTCATCATTACACACTTCCTGTATATTCCCCTTGCCAAAACTAAGCGAAGAGAGGGACGGAGAGCGGGGGGGGGGGGGGGGGAGTTGAGAAAGGAATAGGACGGAAGGATGAGGAAAGGTAGAGACAGAATGTGGATGGGAGGGGAAGGAAGGGAGAGACAGATATGGATGGGAGGGGAAGGAGAGGCAAGGGGAAGTGGACATATGAGGTGAGCACAGGCGACTGTGTTCAGGAGGATCTATTGGATTTAAGAAACTCATTCAGTGCTTATCGCACTGTCTCTTGCTTCCCTCAAGGGGTTTCCTCATCACCACACACTCTTCTCATCAGATCCCTTGGCCAACCCTCAATCAGTAAGGGAGGGGTGGGGAGAGGGGGGGGAAACTCAAGGAAAAGAGATACTGGGGAAGAGAGGAGAGGAGTCAGAAGAACGATGAGAGAATCAGGAGGGTGGGCAAAGCAGCATGTAACGAGCACAGGCGATTGTGTTCAGGAGGATCTATTGGATTTAAGAAACTCATTCAGTGCTTATCACACTGTCTCTTGCTTCCCTCAAGGGGTTTCCTCATCACCACACACAACCGTCGCCAGTATCAGGTAGAGTGAGAGAGTGTGTGTGTGTGTGCGTGTGTGTGTGTGTGTGTGAGAGAGAGAGAGAGAGAGAGAGAGAGAGAGAGGGAAGCGAATTAGAGAGGAGGGCACAGGATGGAGAGGAGAGGGAAAGAGAGAGGGAGAAGCAAGGACAGCTGCTATATCAAGCTGAAGTAGCTGGTCTCAGTTTTGAAGTGTATCAGCATGGGATGGAACCCTCGGGCCCACCAGGCTCAGGTAATGTAGGTAAGGAAGTTAAGGTTTAGCATCACAGACCAGCCGAGATCAACCCGTTAGGCGTGACTAGGTGAGAGCAAGCGACTAGCGAGTGCGATTTAGGCGCTCATGTGCCATGTGCCTTCAGCAGTAGTTGTCCTCATGTGCCACTCATGGCACTCGGTTGTTTATTTGATGTGCGTAAAACAAGCATCATCAGGCAACCTCATGGCAGAGCAAAAGAGAGGTTGTAAAGAGGAGAGATAGAGACAATTAAGGAGACCCAGCGACCTCAATGAATCAACGCGTGACCATGGTGTAGGGGGAAAAGCTTTGAGAAGTCTCAAAACTAAACTAACCATGCAGGGGGGAACACCCCGAGCCCCGAGCTCTCAAAGATGCGACAAAACTAACCATGGAGGGGGGAATTTGTTGCACGTACCAGATAACACGGAAAAGAGTGTTCCGCGGTGTAAGCAGCAGACGCAAAGAAGCAAGCCAAGGGCATTATAAGGCTGCATGCTGCCTTTTCAGGTGGCCTCCCCCCTCAAGCAGCCGCTGCCTCTTTCTTGGCCCGCTTTGGTGCCATCCCACTCACATCCCCCACTGGTTTCCGCTGCTGCCGCTTTCCGGATTCTTGCTGCTGCTGCTGCTGCTGCTGCTGCTGCTGCGGCTGCTGCTTCGTGATCCCCTTCCTTCCTCTCTTACTCTTCCCTCCCTTGGTGTTTCGCCCTGGGACCCCGCCCTTCATTGCAGCGCCCCACTGCTGCCAGCACGAAACTCTCACCCTCCTCGCCCAGTCCCCCAGTGCCCACCCTACCTCCTGCTCTTCCTCCTCCTCTCCTGCCTCCCCTCCCGTCCCCCCTCCGCCCTCCTCTCTCCCCCTCTTCCGCCTCACCCTACCCATCACCACCTCTTTCCGCCACCTCCTAGCAGCGGCGCCGGCCGCGCCCGATTTCACGGCCAATGGCGTTGCGACAGGTGGCCGGAAGCACGACTCGGTGACGGCGCTACTATAAGCCGCGTACGCCTGGGATGGCGTTATGATCCCCACAGGCACGTTGCTCACGCTACTGTTCACGACACTGTTACTGTTCGTAGCACTGTTCATGCCGCTGTTGACTGTGCCTGCAAGGAGCAGCAGGTCAGTGGCACCTGATAAAGCACCTGACGAACCACCTGCCTCCTGCTGCTGCTGCTGCTTCTGCGGCTGACCCTTTAGATAGGGATCCGCCGACCCCTTTGCTGGCCTGCCCGGGGTGGCCGAGGCGGGTGACGTGGCGATGGTGCTGATGTGGCGCGCCAGGCTGGCGACGTGCGGGTGGTAGTGGCGGGCGAGCAGGGAGAGATCCCAGAGGAAGGAAGTGAGCGCGGCGGATAGCTCGGGCTCGGATGCTGCTGGGTCGTAGCGCTGGGGGGGGAGGGAGGAAGGAAGGAGAAGAGGGGAGAAGAGAGAGTATGAGTCTGGGGAGAGCAGGGCGAGGTCCCGGAGGAAGGAGGTGCGAGCAGCCGACAATTCCGGCTCTGATGCTGCTGGGTCGTAGCGCTGGAGGAAGAGAGGGGAAGGGGGAAAGCCGGGGTAACAAAAGGAAGAATGAAGGGAGTGTGGATAAGAGCCGAGAGCAGAGAGAGATCCCAGAGGAAGGATGTGAGATGACAAGTGACTGGCAGTGGAGGAACATACAAGCAACGAGCGGGCTACTGCAAATCTGAGAGGCTGCGGCTGAGACTCAGTCGGCACCCAGGGCTGAGACTGAGGCGCGTGCGAGCTCACAGCCAAGCCACCGTAGGGGCCGAGGCCGCCCCTGACGCATGCAAAAGGTCATCCGGGTCGCCGGGGTAGTCCAAGCTTAATGCACGGCGACACAACAAGCAGCACAACTAAACGCACAACACGCCGAGCCCACTCACAGCTCCACCGCCGTATGGGCCACGGCCGCCCCCTGATGCAAGCACATCGTCGTCAGGGTCCTTGCCCAGCTAGGTGATTTTTGAGTCGACTGAAAAGGTGATTTCTGAGTCGACTGAAAAGGTGATTTCTGAGTCGACTGAAAAGGTGATTTCTGAGTCGACTGAAAAGGTGATTTCTGAGTCGACTGAAAAGGTGATTTCTGAGTCGACTGAAAAGGTGATTTCTGAGTCGACTGAAAAGGTGATTTCTGAGTCGACTGAAAAGGTGATTTCTGAGTCGACTGAAAAGGTGATTTCTGAGTCGACTGAAAAGGTGATTTCTGAGTCGACTGAAAAGGTGATTTCTGAGTCGACTGAAAAGGTGATTTCTGAGTCGACTGAAAAGGTGATTTCTGAGTCGACTGAAAAGGTAATTTCTGAGTCGACTAAAAAATCACCCCCTGATGCACATCGTCGTCAGGGTCCTTGCCCAGCTAGACGCGGCAAAGGAAGGGGGGGGGGGGGGGGGGCTAGTAGTAGGCACTGCAAGCACCACAGCTGGCAGCAAAAAGGAAGCATGCTTGCACACCGAGCCCACTTACAGCTAGGCCGCCGTAAGGGCCAAGGCCGCCCCCGATGCGTGCAGATCGTCATCCGGGTCCTTGTCCAGCAAGACGCGGCAGCGGGGGTAGCGCAGCAGCAGGTGCCGCACCACTAGGAGCACTGATGGGGGGAGGGGGGAAGGGGGGCGGAGGGGAGGGAAAGGGGGAGGGCGGGGAGGGGGGGTTCAGTCAACTGGACGCGTGCAGGTGGTTGTCATCGGGGTCCTTATCCAGCATCAAGACCCTGCAGAGAGGGTAGCGCAGCGGCAGGTGCCGCACCACCAGGTGATTTTTGAGTCGACTCAAAAATCATCTACCGCAGCAGCAGGTGCCGCAACACCAGAAGCACGGATGGGGAAGTCGGGGAGGTTGAGAAAGAGGGAGAGCGGGGGTTTCGGTCAAGTCGAGGTGTAGAGATTGTCAACAGGGTCCTTACAGCGGGGATCCAGGAAGACTCGACAGCGGGGATAGCGCAGGTGCCGCGGACGCACCACCAGAAGCACTCGGACCCACAACCGAAACTCACAACCGAAACCCAAAACCGAAACCCAAGACTTGTGCCTTCAGTTCGATGGTGGTCATCCCCAACTGCCATGGTTATGCCTTGACACTCGGATGTGGGGGTTACTGAAGATCATCAGCAGGCACCAGCAGATGGGCACAATCCACCACTAGCAGTCTCCAGCAGATGCTGTGGCATGCTAAACGACAACAGCAGCTAGTCGCCTGACAAACACGCCACAGCACCATACCAACTCATTAACCACGGCACCCCGTACTACCTACCAGCAACAGCACCACCAGCAGAGAAATACCGGGCGGCAGCACCTAATTGTTGTGTTAACCAGCAACAGCGCCAGCAGCACTTACCAGCAACAGCGCCAGCGGCGCTTAAGTGCAGGGCGGCAGCGGCGAGCCGTTTGACGAACGCAGCGACGCGAGTCATGTCGGCCTGGCGGTTACCCGACGACATGAACACTTCTTGTAGCGCGGACACCAGGGCCGCTTCTAACGAGGATATCGCGCCGCCCCCTGGCGTGATCTCTTCTTCTAACGGGTCCGCTTCCGACGAGGATGCTTTTGGCGGAGCTGCTTTTAACGAGGATGCGTGTAGCGAGGGTGTTTCTGACGAGAGGGCGATCTGCGCGGGAACGATCGGCGCTTCGAGAACCATCTGATACACGAGCGTCGCGAACCCCCGCATGTCTACATTCAGTGAATCTAGATTCGCCTTCATCACCCTCTGCGCCACCACGCAGCACGTGAGCCTATCTTCCAACCTCAACCCTAATCTCCTCCGCCTCCCCCCCTCCCACGTCACCACATCCCCTCCCCTCCCCCCTTCTCCGCCCCCTGCCTCCGCCCCCTCCCCCTCCCCCCAACCTCCCGCCAGGTCATCATCGTCCCCCTCCAACGGTGTCGCCACGTCAGCAGCCAGCTGGCGCAGCGTGGAGAGGAGATCCGGAAGATATTCCACCGAAAGCATGTGCGAGAAGTGACCAACTAGGTAAAGCGCGGAGGGGAGGAGCGGGCGCGGGGGGAGGGAGAGCGCGCCGGACCCATCAGTGGGGCGGGGCTGGTGGAGCATGGCGGCGGCTTTAACTACTCTAAAAAGCGCTTCGAACACGGCGGCTAGAACCCTCGCCTGCTGCTGTTTCCGGGTAGACTCGTCTCTAACGGCTTGCGCCTCCCTGAAATCCCCCTCTACTTCCTTTTTCATTCTCGCCGCTTCTTTCCGCTTCTCTAGCTTCCGCTCTTTCTTCGACTTGGGCTTTCCCGGCTGCTCCTCCGTGCCCCCTTCCGCCGCTCCCCCGGCTCCCCCCGCCCCGCCCCCCCAGGTTGCTTTCCGCCCTGCGCCCCCCGCGGGCCCCCGGCTCCGCGGCCTTCCGCGGACTGCAGGAGATCGTCGTCGAACTCGAGGGGGTGGAAGACGAGCAGCACCTGTAGGGGCGGAGAATCGGGGGGGATGGGGCGAAATTGGGGGGATGGGGGGAAGCGGAATAGAGGGTAAGGGATACACTCGAGGGGGTGGGGGGTGGATGAAAAACCACCAACACCGGAGGGCGCAAGGAGGTGGCGGGATGTTTCTGCCGATTTACGCGTAAGAAAAGGGGTAGCAAGCAGAGCCGGGGGGGGCGGGGGAGGGAGTGGGGGGGAGGGAGTGGGGGGGGGAGGGACGGGGTCACGCGAACAGCTGATCACAGACGTGCGAACGCACCTGAGGGCGAGTGACGCAGCACCGCTGGCGGATGAAGTCAGCTACGAGCTCCGCCGCCTCCACTGTCGCCTCGCCGTGCCGTTATGCCACGTGACAGAGTCTGTCAAAGCACGTGAGATGTACCGAGAGGCAGCAGCGTTACCTGAGGGCGCGTGACGCAGCAGCGCTGGCGGATGAAGTCAGCTACGAGCTCCGCCGCCTCCACCGTGGCCTCGCCGTCGTGTCGTCCGTCCTCACGCATCAACTCCGATATCGTTGAGCAGCACAGGGAACTGGTGAGAGGGGGAGGAAGGGAGTTGGGGGGGGGGGCGAGGGGAGGGGCGGGCGGGTCATAGGGACAGGGTGAGCTCCGATACTTGAAAACCTCAAACCCCGAACCCGGAGCCCCAGACCCCGGACCTGCCAGAAACAAAAATCCCATACCTGATGATGCCGTCGTCCGCGGGTCCACGCGCGGAATGATCGCGCGGATGAACTCCAAGCGGCAGTTGATGCGCGGCTTACACAATGCGCGCCCCAAACCCCGCATACCCAACCCCTGATCCACTAGAAACCAACAACTCATACCTGATGCCGTCGTCCGCCAGGTCCATGCGCGGAATGATCGCGCGGATGAGCTCCGAGCGGCAGTTGAAGTGCGGCGCCGCCCGCAGCAGCCCGCACATGGCGCGCACAGACACGGCTCGGCGCGCTGCTTGCTTGGCGTACTTCAGCAGAAGCGTCACGAATGACTGGAAAGCACATGGGGGGAGGGGGAGAAGTGGGGAGGGAGGGATATACGGGCAGGGGTCAGGGGGGGAGGGGGAGGAGAGAAGGGGGAAGGGAGGAGGGGGGAGGGGGTAGGAAAGTAGGGTGGGAGTAGGGGTTTAGGCCAGGGAAGCGGTTTGGGAGGGCTGGGTACAAAGCCAGGGTGGCAAATCCAGCGGGGGGGATGAAGGAAGGTGCGACATGGAGAGAGCGCGGGGATACGGGTTGGAAAATCCGGAGAGCGCTCAGGAAATTGTAGTCTATTGGGAGCGTCAACGAGGCGAGGCCTCTCAGCCATCCGATGTCATCACCGCGCTTCCCACTTCCCGCTTCCCGCTTCCCGCTTCCCGTTAACCTTGTCTTCCCTATCCTCTTCCGGTCCCCCTCCCCCCTTGCCCCTCCCCCTTGCCCCTCCCCCCTTGCCCCTCCCCCCTTGCCCCTCCCCCTTGCCCCTCCCCCCTTGCCCCTCCCCCCTTGCCCCTCCCCCCTTGCCCCTCCCCCCTTGCCCCTCCCCCCTTGCCCCTCCCCCCTTGCCCCTCCCCCCTTGCCCCTCCCCCCTTGCCCCTCCCCCCTTGCCCCTCCCCCCTTGCCCCTCCCCCCTTGCCCCTCCCCCCTTGCCCCTCCCCCCTTGCCCCTCCCCCCTTGCCCCTCCCCCCTTGCCCCTCCCCCCTTGCCCCCCCCCCTTGCCCCTCCCCCCTTGCCCCTCCCCCCTTGCCCCTCCCCCCTTGCCCCTCCCCCCTTGCCCCTCCCCCCTTGCCTCTTCCCCCTTGCCCCTTGCCCCGTTCCCCTCGCCCCTCCCCCCTTGTCCCTTCCCCCTGCCCCTCTTACATGCATACAGGGTCAAGAGAGCGCTCAGGAAATTGTAGTCTATTGGGAGCGTCAACGAGGCGAAGCCTCTCAGCCATCCGATGTCATCACCGCGCTTCTCTCCTCTCCTTCCCCATTACCTTCCATCCCCCCTTTCCCTCACCCTTTCCCCCTGCTCGCCCCTCAACCATGCCGTTTCCCCCCTGGTAACCACCTTCGGGAGAAAACTATCCTCGTTACAAGCCTGACCTGGTAAGAGTGCAGCAGCCCTTCCTCGAAGAGCCAGCGCCGCTTGACGTCCTTGCTCATCACCATGGCCCTCTCCTTCTCCGTGCGCATGCGCACGCGGTACCCAGGGATAATATCTCTGAACACCGCCGTTAGCGACAAGACGGCCAAGCTTGACACAATCGAGTCCGAGTCAGAGCACAGTTTCTGAAGAGGGAAGGGGGGGAAGGAAGGGGGGAAAGGAAGGGGGGAAAGGAGGGGGGGAAAAGGAAGGGGGAAAGGAAGGGGGGAAAAGGAAGGGGGGAAAGGAAGGGGGGAAAAGGAAGGGGGAAAAGGAGGCACAGTAGGGTGAGGTTGGAGGGTCATGGTACAAACCCTTCTCTCCTTTTCCGTGCGCATGCGCACGCGGTACCCGGGTATGATATCCCCTGAAGACCGCCGTTAGCGACAGCACCGCCAGGCTCGACACGATTGAGTCCGAGTCAACACACAACTTCTGCATTTGACACACAGCGGGCACAAGGCGCAGGGGGGGCGAGTGTTTTCGAAAATTCAAGAAAACACGTCCGAGTCAACAGATAGCTTCTGCATTTGACATACAGCGGGCACTAGGCGCAGGGGGGCGAGGATAGGGGCAAACACATTGAAAAGTCGGACGGGCGGGAAAAGGGGAAGGTAAAGCGAGGAGGTGGGGTGACAGCGAGGCGGGAAGGAAAGCTACGAGAAATGAGGGCACGCCGCCACAAGTGCAACACGAGAGTCCCCTGAATCCTTAGCTACTTGTTACACTCCCTTGATCCTTACTTGCAGCTGACCACTCACGTGCAACGACTTCAGCAAGCCGATGTGCGTCTCCGGGTCTGCAAGGATCTGCGTGCTCATCCTCGCTATGGCCTTCTTCACTGCTGCTCTCCGATCCTCCACCGACATCTCCTCCTCCAACTCCATCTGGAAGAAAAAATAAATAAAAACAGCAGCGGAAGTGAACCAGGAAAGGTTTAGGCATATAAAAAAGAGGGGAGAAAAAAATCAGCCGAAGGAAACGTCACAAACGACAGAGCCATAGCTCTGCAATCGAGGTTTACACACCATAGCTCTGCAAACGAGGTTTACACACCATAGCTCTGCAAACGAGGTTTGCACACCATAGCTCGGCAAACGAGGTTGACATACCATAGCTCGGCAAACGAGGTTGACATACCATAGCTCGGCAAACGAGGTTGACATACCATAGCTCGGCAAACGAGGTTGACATACCATAGCTCGGCAAACAAGGTTTACACACCATAGCTCGGCAAACGAGGTTTACACACCATAGCTCGGCAAACGAGGTTTACACACCATAGCTCGGCAAACGAGGTTTACACACCATAGCTCGGCAAACGAGGTTTACACACCATAGCTTGCTCTTGTGGGGTGAGCCTCGATACATCCTTCCCTTTCCTTCCAACCCTTCCACCCTCCTCTTCCTCCTCCTCACCCTCCCCTCCCTCCGCTTTCTCGTCTCCCTTCACCTCCTCTTCCTCCACCTCCTCCTTCCCCTTCTTCCCCTTCTTTTTCTCCTCTCTCGCCCCACCTGCTAGCTCCCCTTCATCCCCTCCCTCTCCCTCTCCCCCTTCCGCCACTTCGATCGCACGATACATCAGCCGGCCGTCAAGGGTTTTAACCGGCAGGGCATCAACAGCATCCACCAGCACCCCCTTGTCCCTCGCCGCAATAAGCCCGAAACCCCGCATTGAACCTCTCTTCTCCCCCTTCGCCTCTGGCGTTCCTTCCGCCGCAACCACCTCCGCGGCTGCTGCTGCAGCAGGGGCAGCGCGGGGTTTCGGGGCAAATTTCCCCGCTGGCCCCGCAGCCACGGCCCATCCCGGGCGCCTGACTTGGCGCTCGTACTCCGCCTCTTCGTCCTCCGACTCCTCTTCCCCTTCCCCATCCGCATCGTCTTCCGCTTCTTCCCCTTCCCCCCCATCCTCCTGCTCCTTCACTCCGCCCTTCCCCTTGTCCGCTCCCCGTGCGTCCCGCATTTTGCCTTTAGCGCCTTTCAGCGGGCCAGCGCCAAGGCCTGCAGCGGACGAGTCGGCGAAAACCATCACCTCGTCCTCGTCGTCATCGAACTCATCGTCGTCCTCCTCATCCTCTTCCTCCTCTTCCTCGTCATCCTCATCGTCGAACTCGTCATCGGAAATCACTGGCTCAAGCTCTTGCTCTTCCTCCTCCTCTTCTTCCGCCTCTTCCGCCTCTTCCGCCTCTTCCGCCTCTTCCGCCTCTTCCGCAGCGATTTCTTCTCCGTCTCCGGGAACCCGCACGCCCTCTGCACTGTTAGTGTCCGCCTCCTCTTCCTCCGCTAGCTCCTCATCCTCGTCAGTGACGTCCTCCTCCACGTCATCTTCGTCCACGTCATCACTTTCGTCCAATCCATCTCCATCATCATCACTATCCTCCTCTCCTCCATCATCCTCGCACCTGTCAGCATCGCTTCCTTCCTCAGCACGATCCGGTCTCGGAGGTTTAGGCTTGCTTCCCTTGGATTCACTGATGATGAGTAGGAGGACACAGTGGAAACCAATGCACATGTTATGACCACGACAAGAAAAAACAAAACAAATGTAGGCCTCTACCATATTCGACAGAAGTCGCACCGTTATACCAACAACAGCAAGCTAACCCTCAAACTAGGCGGACGCAGAAATCCCGAACCGTATAAACCTGATATCGGAAGGAAGCCAGAACCCCAAACCTTGAATCCGGTGATCGCAATGAGAGCGACCGCTTCCCTTACCAGCTGGTGCTTCTCCAGGCCGGACAAGTTATTACATCGGAAAGCAATAAACAGTAAACCCAAGACCAGTAAACTGAACGGAGTGGACTCCCTACCTGCCCAGCTTCTGCTCCTCCAGGCCCGACAAGAAGCGCGCGAAGTTCTGGTGCTTCGAGAAGAATGCCACGTCGTCGTCGGACAGCTCAACCTCTTCCTCCTCCACCGCCGCAGCCGCCACCGCTGGTTTCGCGGGCTTGGCAGCTTTCGCACCGGCCTTGCCTTCCCGTCCTACTGCCGCCCCCCCACGTCCTCGGCCGCGGTTGCTGCTGGCTAGCCGGCTGGAATGCTGCGCGCCACCGGCTGTTTTGCGTGATGGTGCCCTATCCTTGGGGTTGGATTTACCGCTGCTGGCGCCACGTGTCTTTCCACCAGCAGTTTTGCTGTCCGATCCACGCTTCACGAGAGGTCCACCCTGAACAGAAGTAATAAAGAGCACGTAATAGACGGCGTGAGCGACGAGGAATGAGAGTAAAAGGCAGACACAATATACCCAAGCATGCTTGCATTTGTCGGCCGCCAAGAATGCGGCTACTTAGATTAACAAGAAGTAGACATTAGCAACATGAAATTAACTGTTCAAACTAAACAGGAACGGGCGATGCGATGAGACACACGGAACCCCGGAAACAAGGCGGCATGGCTTTCAAGGTCCTAAAGAACGTCAGTTAACGGGCCGTGACTCTCTCCGGCCGACTCAGCACACGGTAAGAACGTCAGTTAACGGGACGGGATCTGACCTTCGTCCCGCCGCCGCGAGCCATGGCGGTCGTCGCGTGACCGCAAGGTCACTGCGAGCTGTGGGAGAGGATCCTCCGCCGCCACATGCGGTGCGGGTTAGCCAAGAACCACACAGCGTTGGAACCAACAGACTGAAATGCGAACTCGACCTGAAATGTATTTTCCCGAATGCCCAGCAGCAGCTCCGGGCAATCCCAAGGGCTTATTGTTTGGATTGCTCATGGGCCAGGGGATTTTCCATTACGGACGGAAGCTGCTGTTTGGCAAAATGTGTGGGTGGGGCTGGATGAGTGTGTTTGTCAGTGTAGGGGTGGTTGCCACCGAAACAGGAACTGTTCAAAATATGATTTCCTTTTTAATAGCGTACATGCAAAAAATCGACACTTTTGAATAACCAGCATTTATACACTTGTGTCATGCGTGTACGTAAAAGCGAGGCAGCCTAAATTCAAACTACCCTTGGGATTTGGGCAATGGCCAGTGCGTGAAAACTCCTTATTGGTGGTCTCGGTAAGAGCCCGTCGCAGAAGCTAACCGTTGCTGACCATGGCGGGCGACGAATCGCCAATGCAGTGTCATTTCCGCCTGAAGGTGCGTTATTCGCCGTTCATGTCTGTCGTCCGCCGTTCATGCGACGGAAGACCGCGATTCGCGAACACCTTCGCGAGTCTGTCTCTGCGTCATGCCTAGCGGGATATGGATTCGGCGAGAAATGACGAGGACTTGACACGTGGGACCATTGGCCTAGCGGATTACCGCCATCTCTCGTTCTCTAGCTAAACTATTGGCCTAGCTCGTTTCATTAGGTTGAGTCAAATTGAGTAAGTCTAATTCTATCAGCGTCTCATTATTATCAGCGTCTCATTATTATCAGCGTCTCATTATCATCAGCGTCTCATTATCATCAGCGTCTCATTATTATCAGCGTCTCATTATTATCAGCGTCTCATTATTATCAGCGTCTCTCCATGAACCTGATCTTGGCTTTGACCCTCCTCCATTCCAGGTGGTCAACTGGGAGGATCTTGACACGTCAGCGTCCACGCATCCCGATGACGTGGCACGCGGAAGCACCGTCAGTGCCAGCAGAGCAGTGGCACGGCCGCTGTCCGAGCTGGCAGGGCGGCAGTGCGGTGTACACCCGTCGGATTGGGCGGCTATCAGGGACACGTGGCAGCAGGCGGAAGCAGAAGGATTAGGGGGGAATCTGAACGCGCGGGGAAGGCGCGCGATGGGGAAAGGCGCAGCAGGCGGAGGGATCATGAAAGGAGGGGCGGTGGGGGGGTGGATCCGCGGATTGCTGGGGCTGGGGGAGGGTCAAGGGGGAAGGGATGGGGGAAGAGATGGGGGAAGGGATGGGGGGGGAGATGATAGGGAGGGGAAGCAGGGAGAGGGGGGAGAAGTGAGGGTGGAAGGGGGGGAGCAGGGGACGGAGGAGGGGGATGGGGAGCAGATATACCTGGTGCAGAAGGTGAGGCGGGAATGGGGTTGGGGGATGGGGGGTTGGGGCAATAATTTAGTTCTGAGATGTCTCAAAACTATATTATAATTAATTTCAGTTCTGGTTGCAGGTGGGCTTGGGGGTAGATTTTTGGGGGACTTAAAGGCAATGTCAGGGGAAGGGCAATGCCAGGGGAAGGGCAATGTCAGGGGAAGGGCAATGCCAGGGGAAGGGCAATGTCAGGGGAAGGGCAATGCCAGGGGAAGGGCAATGCCAGGGGAAGGGCAATGCCAGGGGAAGGGCAATGCCAGGGAAAGGGCAATGCCAGGGGAAGGGCAATGCCAGGGGAAGGGCAATGGCAGGGGAAGGGCAATGTCAGGGGAAGGGCAATGCCAGGGGAAGGGCAATGCCAGGGGAAGGGCAATGGCAGGGGAAGGGCAATGCCAGGGGAAGGGCAATGCCAGGGGTAGGGCAATGCCAGGGAAAGGGCAATGCCAGGGGAAGGGCAATGCCAGGGGAAGGGCAATGCCAGGGGAAGGGCAATGCCAGGGGAAGGGCAATGTCAGGGGAAGGGCAATGCCAGGGGAAGGGCAATGCCAGGGGAAGGGCAATGTCAGGGGAAGGGCAATGCCAGGGGAAGGGCAATGCCAGGGGTAGGGCAATGCCAGGGAAAGGGCAATGCCAGGGGAAGGGCAATGCCAGGGGAAGGGCAATGCCAGGGGAAGGGCAATGCCAGGGGAAGGGCAATGCCAGGGGAAGGGCAATGTCAGGGGAAGGGCAATGCCAGGGGAAGGGCAATGCCAGGGGAAGGGCAATGCCAGGGGAAGGGCAATGCCAGGGAAAGGGCAATGCCAGGGGAAGGGCAATGCCAGGGGAAGGGCAATGTCAGGGGAAGGGCAATGCCAGGGGAAGGGCAATGTCAGGGGAAGGGCAATGCCAGGGGAAGGGCAATGCCAGGGAAAGGGCAATGCCAGGGGAAGGGCAATGCCAGGGGAAGGGCAATGCCAGGGGAAGGGCAATGTCAGGGGAAGGGCAATGCCAGGGGAAGGGCAATGTCAGGGGAAGGGCAATGCCAGGGGAAGGGCAATGTCAGGGGAAGGGCAATGCCAGGGGAAGGGCAATGCCAGGGGAAGGGCAATGTCAGGGGGGGCAATTCCAGGGGAATGCGATGTCATGAACTTTGCTCTGCGTCTGTTTTTCTGCTTGCTCGTACCTTGTGATTTTGCTGTCCCACTTGATTCTTCTCCCTACACTTCTTCTTGGATCTCCTCTCTCTTCTCGTCTCCTGATTGTGCAGGGTGTTTTTGAGAATTCTCAAAAACACCCTGCACAATCCTTTGCCTTTGCCATCCCACTTGACTCTTGTCCCTACACTTGAGTCAAGTGTAGGGATGCTACACTTACACGCTAAGTGGGAAAATTCGCGTTTCACGTAAATTCGCTGACGAATTTACGCTGGTGTAAATTCGCCGAACGCCAGGGCCCTGTTTTAAATTCGTTAGGAAATTCGTTCCGCCCGGGCAGGAAAAAAAAACCCGGGCAGGCCCAAAAAAAACTTCCCAGGTAGGGGGGGCATGGGGGGTTTCAGGGCAACTCTTTCAAACAATAAAAATTTAGCACAAAATATATATTGCTTCTCAAAGTTTATGGCAATAGCATGTTCGAGAGTTTGGGGGGGTTCCTTCGCAACAACAGCCCTGCAGCAACCTACAGCACCATTAGAAACCATACTCACACATCCCCCACGGTTGGGAGCGTGGGAGGGGTTGGGTGCATGTTAGAAGGTTCAAAAGTTAGAATCGCGAATTGGCGAGGCCACGGATGGCATCGCCAAGTCGTCGCGAATCGAGTGGAAAATTTTGTGTTTTTTTGTCCGGGCTGCCCCGAAAATTTGTCCCCAGCGTTTCGCGAATTTCAGGTAAATTCGCGTTTGCGAATTTACGCTTACGAATTTACGCAAAACGCTGGGGGACCCCAACGAATTTGCCCACTTAGCTTACACGTACACTTGGATCTCATCTCTCTTCTCGTCTCCTATTCTTCTCTTGTTTGCATCCCACGTGGCGCAGGGTGGCAGCGATGGGGTGCTTGCAGTCATGTGAGTAAGCAGTCATGTGAGTAAGCAGTCATGTGAGTAAGCAGTCATGTGAGTAAGCAGTCATGTGAGTTCTGTCCGCTGTCCCATGTTAACTTCGCTGTTAAGAGAAGAGGTCCTGCTTTCCTAAAACTCTTGGTTACATAAGCATAGCGTTTTTACAACTGTCTTTCCTACTTGCTAAACGGCCTTCCTAACTGCGCTCGCTGGAATTATGTCCGGAGATTCGCAGGGTGGCAGTGATGGGGTGCTTGCAGTCATGTGAGTGGGGCTACATGAGCATACACGTGTACATGCATGCATGCACGCACGCACGCACATGTGTTTGCATACAGTCATGTATCTACGCTTAATGGCTTAGCGTTTTAATCTTCTAGTGGAGTTGAGTTCGGAGCTTCGAATTCTCGGTTTTTAACAGGGGTTTCAATTTACCCACTGTCACTCTTTTTGCTAAAGTTCTTTCTCTTCGCTGCAGCCCACCCTAACGCTTAATGGCTACATGTATCTACACATGTAAATGCAAGAATGCACACACACACACACACACACACACACACACACACACACACACACACACACACACACACACACACACACACACACAATCAGGCACACATATGCATTGATAAATCTTATCTTGTTCTTTTTCATCATCAGCACACTCAGCCCAAATAAAGTCCAGATCTATGCGTCACCCAGAGGCCAGAGATTCCTTCATTTTCCAAATCTTCTCAATTGTGTCTCCCTTTCAACCTCCCTCTCTCCCCTCTCTCCCCTCCTTGCCAACATCACCATCACCATCGCCACAAGCAGCCCGCACCCAGGTGTCCCTCCAGCCGCCATGGCCCTCTCTGCCGTACACCGATTCAACCTGCACCTCGCGTCTGACGTAAGCATGTGCTGTGGCTGTAGCTGTAGTGCCGAGTGGGTGCGTTGATTTAACGGTGCTTTGGGGGGGGAGGGGGGTACACTTGGGGATTCGGAGGATAAAGGAGGGAGGGAAGAAGAGCATGGAGGGAGGGAGGGAGGGAGGGAGGGAGGGAGGGAGGGAGGGAGGGAGGGAGGGAGGGAGGGAGGGAGGGAGGGAGGGAGGGAGGGAGGGAGGGAGGGAGGGAGGGAGGGAGGGAGGGAGGGAGGGAGGGAGGGAGGGAGGGAGGGAGGGAGGGAGGGAGGGAGGGAGGGAGGGAGGGAGGGAGGGAGGGAGGGAGGGAGGGAGGGGAGGGAGGGAGGGAGGGAGGGAGGGAGGGAGGGAGGGAGGGAGGGAGGGAGGGAGGGAGGGAGGGGAGGGAGGGAGGGAGGGAGGGAGGGAGGGAGGGAGGGAGGGAGGGAGGCAAACGCAGACTCAGACTGTGTGTGCTTGGTACCATCGGCACCTTGCCATGTCGCGTGCAGGCTGTATCGCATCAGTCATTGATCAGTGGTATATGTGTGCGCTTTCTGCAGATCCAGAAGCTGGAGGTGTTTGTTCCTAGGGGACTTTTAGAGTCGACTCGAAAGTCAATCAAGGATTGATGTACTTGTGACTGTGTGACTGTGTGACTGCGTGACTGTGTGACTGCGAGACTGTGTACACCTTTGTGCTCTCTGCAGATTCGTTATGAGTTTGAGGTGTTTGTTCCGCCTCCAAGATTCGCTCTCCAAGGTAAGAGGAGCCCGTCTTGCATCGAGGTGACTTTTGAGTCGACTGGAAAAGTCTTCTCAAAAGTCTTCTCAGAGGATCCCGTCTTGCATCGAGGTGTCTTTTGAGTCGACTCAAAAGTCGATTCGTCATTCTCAGAGGATCCCGTCTTGCATCGAGGTGTCTTTTGAGTCGACTCAAAAGTCGATTCGTCATTCTCAGAGGATCCCGTCTTGCATCGAGGTGTCTTTTGAGTCGACTCAAAAGTCGATTCGTCATTCTCAGAGGATCCCGTCTTGCATCGAGGTGTCTTTTGAGTCGACTCAAAAGTCGATTCGTCATTCTCAGAGGATCCCGTCTTGCATCGACTATGTATCCGCAGTCACCATGCCACAGCCCTCGAACCATGCTTTTTCCCCTCATTCCTCTCGCACTCGCTTGGATGACCCCCCTATACAATCACACTATCCTCCTCGTGGCAGATGTGACTCTGGAGGTCCAGGTTCTCCTAAAGGGGGCTGCTGGCATGGAGAAAGGGGCACTCGTCACCACTGCACCATGAGGTGACTTTTGAGTCGGCTCATTGGTCACCACCTCATGAGTCGACTCAAAAGTCACCTCATGAGTCGACTCAAAGTCACCTTGCTGGCATGGACAAGGGGGCACTGGTCACCACTGCACCATGACCCCCACAAGCATCCCCGTCGCATCATCATCCTTCTTCCTCCCCCGTTCCTTCACCACAGATGTGACTCTGGAGGTTCGGATTCTGCTAGGGGGCGCTGCTGGCATGGAGAAGGGGGTAGTGAGGGTAGTGGGGGAGAGGAGGAGGAGGAAGAAGGGAGGAGGAGGAAGAGGAGGAGGAGGAAGAGGAGGAGGAGGAAGAGGAGGAGGGGTGCCTATCCCTGGACGCAGCAGATCTATGCGATCAACTCCACCGGCTCTTCCACCATCAAGTCCTCACAGTGTCCCACACGTATGCACTCTTGCTCCCTACGCCCCACACGTATGTGTGGTTGCCTTTTGATTCGACTCAAAAGTCATCTTGTTCGTTCACTCTCTCTCACAGGCCACGGGCCTTGCTACTTCTACGTATGGCCCCACCTCCCTCCTCCTTTCGCCATTGCGTTTACTTTTGCTCCCTGTGGGTGGGACTGCTTTTGAGGCGCCTCAAAAGCAGCTCCGTGGGTGGGTTTTGAGGCGACTCAAAAGGTAGCGCCCCGTGGGTGGGTTTTGAGTCGACTCAAAAGGCAGCCCCGTGGGTGGGTTTTGAGTCGGCTCAAAAGGCAGCCCCGTGGGTGGGTTTTGAGTCGACTCAAAGGGCAGCCCCGTGGGTGGGTTTTGAGTCGACTCAAAAGGCAGCCCTGTGGGTGGGGCTCGAAACGTTGATCTAGTACAGTCCAGTCCGTGGGATTGGGTATCTCTTCACCAGTGCAGTAACTGACCTTCCTTTCATCTATGTCCACATGTCGTCTCTCCATTGTGCCATGTGTCACTCGTAACAGGCTGGTGATGTCTGCTCGTGGGAAGGAGCTGGCCGTTCGAGTGGCGGAGGCAAACAACCTGAGTGAGTTGCTCAAAGCTCAATAAAAAATCACCTGAGCTGGATGAAAGGTGGTTTGATTGAGCTCAATAAAATCACCAAGAACTTTTGAAGCTCAAGAACTTCACAAGAGGCATGCTGACAGCTGTTAGTGTTACCCCCCCCGCCCCTTCCTGCTCCTGAGTGTTACAGTGTTCCTGCTCCTCCTCTCATCTCTTCCCGTGATCTCTCTTCCCTCTCATCTCTTCCCGTGATCTCTCTCCCTCTTTGTTCCTGGCGAGGACGAGCGGGACGAAGCAGTGCTGTACCATTGCTACAGAGGCATGCTCACAGCAGTTCCGCCCGTCCTTCCTGCACTCCGTCCTTTGCTTTCCTTGCTCTCTTTCCTCGTTCTCTCTGTCTTCCTTGCCTCAGGCGAGGATGAGCGGGACGAAGCAGTGCTGTACCATTGCTACAGAGGCATGCTCACAAATGACACTCAAATACACCTTGTACCCGATACAGGTATACTCTCTTTCTGTCTTTTGTCACATGTCGCCACTGACGTGTGCTCCCCATTTTCGCTGCCCATCCCCTTCCCTGTCATTTATTCTCCCCCCCCCCCCCTTGGTGTCGTGGCCCCTTTCCTCAAAACGCCTCCTCCCCCCAAACGCCCCTTTCTCCTCGTCTTGCAGGCATAGAGCTAGCCAACTGGACACCCAAACAGGCCGCAACAAGCCCTGGCCCAAGTAAAGTTGTAAATGTGAGCTGGTGATGGTTTACAATTGTCCGAAATCTGTGAACGTGAGCCGCTCACAAATAGCCTGCAACAGCAAAAAGCACAGGCCCAAGTAAAGTTGTGAATGTGAGCCATGCAAAAAAAGAGCGGGGATTCTGATCTTGCATTGCTGGATTGAATCACTGTCCTCTTCCTTACTGCCTTTAATACTATTTTTTCGTTTCTGATCTTCCTTACTATTTTTCACCAACCCCCTTGCCTGCTCACTTTTCTTTCAGTCCTCTTCCCCCCCCCCCTCTCTTCTCCCCCCCTCAGCTCCTCTCGTCAGACGACGAGCTCTTTCCAGTCAAGAAAGCCCTTCTCCGACCGTGCCTTGCACTTACTAAGGTATGGTGTTCGTAACACTGGCACTTTCTTTTTGAGGCGCCTCAAAAATAGACTCCTTCTGCAACCATGCCTCGCTCTTACTGAAGTATGATGTTTGTGATGCTGTTACTCTCTAAAATACGTGGATTGCCCGGTGCGGCATGTTCTCACCTTTGGTGCTGCTTTACACCTTAACTCCATGTTTGAGGCGCCTTAAAAATCTTGTTTTAAGGCGCCTCAAAAATAGGCTCACCTTTGGTGCTGCTATTTATGCCCTGGATGCTGCGTCTCCACGTCTCCATGTGAGTCCAAGACATGCTTGTGTCATGGACACAAGCACGTCTTCATGTTGACACATCCTGGAGACGTGGAGTGTTGGCATTGAGGTGACTTTCGAGTCGGCTCAAAAGGGACTCGGAAAATGAAGGGCCAGAGAGCCCTACCGTGGTGACTTCCAGACACTGGCGACCAGCGCCTGGGGCTCTTTGAGTCTCGCATACGGTACGGTGACTTCCCTCCCCTCCATCCCCCCATTCCCTCCCTCCCTATGTCTGCAGGCAGTTCAAGACACTGGCCCCGAGCCCCCAACAGTCCAAGTGGGTGTGGAGTGCTTGCTGCTGGACCGAGTGCTGCTTTTCTTGGAGGCAGACTTCAAGGGTGAAGCAGAGAGCTTTCAGTTTGACATCAACCTTACCCAGGAGTTGAGGGAAGCAGCTGCATGCTTGAAGCTCAAGAGCCTGGCTGACCTGTGTGACCAGCGCCTGGGCCTCTTTGAGTCTCGCATACGGTATGGAGAACAATGTTTCTGGTTTAGGTTCTAGTAGTCAACAGACAGGCAGAGCGCTTCCGGTTTGACATCGACCTCTCCCAGGAGTCGAGGGAAGAGGCTGCATGCTTGAAGCTCAAGAGCCTGGCTGACCTGTGCGACCAGCGCCTGGGGCTCTTTGAGTCTCGCATCCGGTGAGGCTTTCACAGGGGCGCGGTACGATTCGATTTTTTAGGCGCCTCAAAAAGAGTCTCGCATCCGGTGAGGCTTCACAGGGTGTGAGGTATGATTCTTTAGGACCTAGGGTTCTAGGAGCAAGTGGACAGTTGCAGTGTGACATCAACCTCACGCTAAACGTGACGGAACCATGGCCTCATGTCTGAAGCTCAAGAGCCTGGTGGACCTCTGTGCTTAGGCCTCTTTGAGTCCTGCATGCGGTAAGCCTTCAAAGTACCATTGTTTGCGGTCTAACGGTTCAAAGTTTATTTTTGAGGCGCCTATTTTTGAGGCGCCTCAAAAATAGACTCTGCTTGCGGTAAGGCTTCAAAGTGCCATTGTTTGCGGTCTAATGGTCCAAAGTTTCTGGTTTTGCGCTGAAGTAGCATACAGAGAGACTTTCAGTTTGACGTGAAAAACACCCAGGACCTGATCAAGGCAGCCTCCTTCCTCCCACGTCTGTGCTCCTCTTAAGCACCTTCCTGCTCTCCGTCTCCTCCTCCCCTTGTTTCCCAGTGAATATTCCTTTGCCGAGGTGGCAGAGCGCAATGCGAGTGGCAACTGTTGGCTGCTTCTGGATGGCATGGTGCTGGATGTAACCAGGTGGTTACCAGAGCACCCAGGAGGCGATACAATCATCCCAACTCAGGTGAGACTTACTTCCAGTCATCTTAACCGTTTCAAATCAAGTGTAATCTAGAGTTTTGCAAATTCTACAAGCCAATTTGTTACTTTCCCTTTACAAGCATACTCTTTTCCATCATTTCTCTCAAGATCGTCCTTGCTTGCATATAATGTGGCAAACATCGCAGGGACTCAACAGGGACTGCACTGTATTCTTTGAGCTGTACCATTCGTCGAGGGAATCGTTTCTTTACCTCAGGGTGAGTTGAGATGCTCATTATATGCACGGGCAGCTAATTCTGCACGCACTTGCTCTATGGGTTTTTTTTCCAGGTGGCCGTCATCACAATGTGTAAGAAGTTCAGTGAAAATATGTTTTTTCTCACATTTCTCGTTACTTGTTGCAGCATTTTTACATGGGCGAGCTGAAAGAGGAAGACAAGGTGAAGGTAAGGCATAGATTATAGTTCGTTTCATATTTTTCTCGTGCTCAAGTCAACATTTTGATAGTTGTGTGGCTTCTCCAATGGCAGTTGGCGGAGCAAGAAGACCAGCAACCATCAGCGGAATTCATGCAGCAATTGTGGGAGTACACCCACTCGTTTCGCCTCCATGGAACCACAATCAGGAATTTGTAGGAGGTGTGGCCCAGCCAAATTTATCTAAAACGATTTTTTTCAAGTTACCACTGTGGTTCAAGATAAAGACTGAGGTTCGGTTAGGATCTTGCGGCGTTGTCATGGTATCGAGTCAGCCAACAGCGGCCACCCTCGAGATTGCCTCGTTTGTGCGAATCTACTCTCCCCAGACAAGAAACTAGGTCAACGCGGACTGCTACATAGGCCTACTGGATTAGGGTATAGCACCAGCAGCGTAGCGTAGACACTCCAGCCTGGTCCTTCACTGGCTACTCGACCTATCAGCCGCTACGATCCGCCTTAGCGCCTAACACGCGGCGTTAAACCCGAATCGCAGTCGCTTCTCTTGGTGTGGGATCAGCCGCTAAGCGTCTTGCTTAGCTATCATCCCTCCCACTTCCCATCGCTGCGCTGCCCAAGTGGTGCAGCCTGTTACCAGACGCAACGCTACCACGCGTCGCTGGTACGCGACGCTTCAGTGAGGTTGTAAAAAGGATCTCATCTTGAGCATCAGGACTCTTGCGGTGTTCTTATAGCGAAGGATCTCAGATCTGGTGCTTGTAACGATGGCCGTTACGTCCGTCCACCGAATCCTGTCTCGCAACCGAGCGACAGGAAGCGCGCTCGGCGCGCTTTTCCGATCCGTCGAATCCGGATCGCAAGCTGGAGCAGCCGCGCCGGCTACGTCACCAAATGGCGCCGCTGCGCTGGCCAGCCGCCACGTCAGCACCTGCGACCTCGCGGGGTTTGCGGGAGGTCGTGACGTGGATGCGGTTCTGAGCGGCGCGGTGTCTCCCTTTAGAAGCTCCGTGGCTTGCGCTACTGTTGCGGGGTCGATGTCTCTTAGGGGCATTGTTCCGTCTATCGCGGCGGGAGAGGCGGCGGCAATCGCGGCGCAGTGCAGGCGGGGATACGCAACTTTCTCCCGATCGTGAGTAGCAGCTTCCACGCAGCTTCCTTCATGAGTCAAGGTCGCGTGTAACTTTGAGTGGCCTTAGAATATGCTAGTGTGCTTTTAAAGGTGTCTTTTCCCTTGCAACTCTATCCTTATCACTTCGCCTGCGTGTGTGCTTGTGAATCTCTGTGTGTCCGATGGTCTCTGCAGGAAGCCGCATCTGAGCATTGGGACCATCGGGCATGTACTTTCAAGTGGACTCAGAATTGCTTGTGTGCTTCTACCGGAGTCTTTATCCTTGCAACTCTTTCCTTGCCGCTTTGCCTGCCTGCATGCGTGCAGGAAGCCGCATCTGAACATCGGGACCATCGGCCACGTGGATCACGGCAAGACGACCCTCACTGCTGCCATCACCAAGGTCAGAACGCAAATGGTTACCAATCTGCGAGGGTTACTAACCCTGGTATTGCAGTTCTCCATTCGCCCCCTGCTCGCAACCAAACATCGGGACCATCGGCCACGTGGACCATGGCAAGACCACCCTCACTGCTGCCACCACCGGAAGTCTCACCGCTGGAACGACCCTCCTTGCTGCAATGAATAAGTTCAGACGCCTGGATTGTTGCCTGGCCTGAAAGTGCTCATTTCAAGACGACCCTCACTGCTGCCTCTTCTCTCTTCTGGTTGCTTGGCGCACAGGTGCTGGCAGACGAGGGTAAGGCCAAGGCGATTGCTTTCGACGAGATTGATAAGGCGCCTGAGGAGAAGGCCCGTGGTATCACCATCGCCACTGTGAGTGCGTGGAGTGGTGGGGACGGGACGAGACGAGAGGTCGTATGCTATTCTTTGTGTATTTTGAGTCGACTCAAAATACGCCTGAGGAGAAGGCCCGTGGCATCACCATCGCCACTGTGAGTGTGTGGAGTGGTGGGGACGAGACAAGACGAGAGATCGTATGCTATTGTTTGCCTTCGTGGCCCACGAAGGCAAACAATAAGCTATTTTGGTTCTTCCTTGTAGATCACCTCTTGTTTCCTCCACCCCCCATCCCCCCCCCCCCCTTACTCCAGAATTCCCACGTTTTATAAGCATCCTCCGCCAGTCTCCACACATATTGACTTGCTGTTCACTTCAGCTGTCTCCTACTCCTTGACTCCCGTTGTTTTACGTTGTCTCCCATTTGACTCCTCCCCCATCCCCCTCTCCCTTCCCCCCTCTCCCTTCCCCCCCTCCTTCTCTCCCCTTACCCTCCCCCCTGCCCCCTCTCCCCTTCCCCCCCTCTGCCCCCCTCTCCCCTCAGGTAGACGTGGAGTACGAGACAGAGAAGCTCCACTACGCGCTCGTGGACTGCCCCATCCAATCCCCTCCCTCCCCTCCCCTCCCACCCCCTTCTCTCCTCTCCCCTCCCTTTCTCCCACCCTCTCCCCCCTCCTCTTCCGATTTTTGAGGCGCCTCAAAAGGATTTTTGAGGCGCCTCAAAAATCCTCTCCCCCTCCTCTTCCGTCAGGCGCATGTGGAGTACGAGACGGAGAGCGGCACTACGCGCACGTGGACTGCCCCATGCACCCCACCCCCTCTTTCCCCCCCCCCTCCCACCACCACCTCAGGCGCATGTGGAGTACGAGACGGAGAAGCGGCACTACGCGCACGTGGACTGCCCCGGCCATGCGGACTACGTGAAGAACATGATCACGGGCGCGGCCCAGATGGATGGAGGCATTCTCGTGGTGTCTGCTCCCGATGGCCCCATGCCACAGACCCGGGAGCACATCCTGCTGGCACGGCAGGTGAGCCGAGTGCCCAAGGTCCCGGGGAGCACATTCTGATACCCCTGGGCCCTGGGATGCCCAAGCAGCGGACTACGTGAAGGTGAAGAAGATGATCACCGGCGCGGCCCAGATGGATGGAGGCATTCTGGTGGTATCCGCCCCGGATGGGCCCATGCCGCAGTCCTGGGAACGCATGCTGCTGGCACGGCAGGTGAGAGCAGACACAGACCCGAGCGCAGGTGAAGTGAAAGTCCTATGATACATCCTCGCCTGCCGCAGACCCGAGAGCATTTACTGCTGCCCAGATGGACTGCGGCATTTGTATCATCTCGTCTCTGCCTGGATGGCCCATCATGGTCCCATGCCACACCCTGCTGCCACGGCAGGTAAGTCGGCCCTCCACCGCCTGCTTGCCCTCCACCGCGTGCTTGCCCTCCACCACCTGCTTGGGACATGAGCTCGTGTCGTGTGCTCTTTGGTGACCTGCTGCATTGCCCCAGTCCCAGAACCATCTTTCTAAGCAACAAATAACTTCTGCACATATAATCCGCGTGTGGGTGTGTGATGAGTCGATTTTTGAGGCGCTGCCAAAATCGTGGTGGAATGCTGTGTGGTGACCTGCTGCACCGCCCGAGTCCCAGAGCCGTCTGCACTCCCCTGCTGTGCTGTTCCTCCATAACCCCTTTCTCCTCCCCCACCAATTTCCCCTCAATTTCCAGGTGGGTGTGCCGTCGCTGGTGTGTTTCCGCAACAAGGTGGACGACGAGGAGTTCTTGAAGATGCACCCACGTACACCCGCGCGTTCTTGTGTTTCCCCCTCTGAAACGCGGTGACTTTTGCGTCGACTCAAGTCCCCTCTGAAACGCGGTGACTTTTGCGTCGACTCAAAAGTCCCCTCTGAAACGCGCACCCGTTTCTTTGTTGCCCTCCCGCTCCTCCTGTGCGTTGGCCAGGTGGGCGTGCCGTCGCTGGTGTGTTTCCTCAGCAAGGTGGACATGGTGGACGGCAAGCAGCACACGCACGCAGCAGATGCATTCTTGCTGCTCTCCCTTGCATCCCCTGTCCTCCCTGCCCGTGTCCTCCTCCCCCCGTCACTCATCGCCAGGTGGGCGTGCCGTCGCTGGTGTGCTTCCTCAACAAGGTGGACGACGAGGAGCACACGCAAGTGCATGCCTGCTGCTCTCTCAAACGCGCTTACATCCCCCCGTGCCCATCCCCTCCCTTCCCCTCCCCTCCCCCATCCCTCTCGTTGGCCAGGTGGGCGTGCCGTCGCTCGTGTGTTTCCTCAACAAGGTGGACATGGTGGACGATGAGGAGCTGCTGGAGCTAGTCGAGATGGAGCTGAGGGGTGAGTGAGCAGGGTGTTTTTGAGAATTCTCAAAAACACCCTGCAAAATCAACGAGATGGAGCTGAGGGGTGAGTGAGCAGGGTGTTTTTGAGAATTCTCAAAAACACCCTGCAAAATCAACGAGATGGAGCTGAGGGGTGAGTGAGCAGGGTGTTTTTGAGAATTCTCAAAAACACCCTGCAAAATCAACGAGATGGAGCTGAGGGGTGAGTGAGATAGAGAGCTCATGAGAGGCTCGGGGCTGAGGGCGTGTATGCACGCCTATTCTCGACTCAGCAAGGTGGACGTGGTGGACGATGAGGAGCTGCTGGAGCTGGTGAAGATGGAGCGGAGGGGTGAGTGTGAGGGGGAGTGAGAGAGGGTGAGCGAGGGAGGGAGCAGCTGTTGCACGGGAGAAGCTCAGGGCTGGCAGTGTGCATGTGCGTCTTTCCTCAAGCTGCTGGAGCTGGTAGAGATGGAGCGGAGGGGTGAGGGCGGGAGAGAGGGTGGGAGAGAGGGCGGGAGAGAGGGCGGGAGAGAGGGTGGGAGAGAGGGTGAGAGAGGGTGGGAGAGAGGGTGGGAGAGAGGGTGGGAGAGTGCAAGAGTTGCCCTCCCTCCCTCCCCTCTTCCCCTGCCAGAGCTGCTCTCCCTTTCCCGAACCTTCCCTGCCCTCCCTCCCTCCCCTCTTCCCCTGCCAGAGCTGCTCTCGTTCTAAGATTTTTGAGGCGCCTCAAAAATATTCCCCATATAAAATCCGCGTGAGCTGAGACGATTTTTGAGGCGCCTAAAAAAAAACTCCCTCCCTCCCCTCTTCCCCTGCCAGAGCTGCTGTCGTTCTACAAGTTCCCTGGGGACGACATCCCCATAGTGCGCGGGTCGGCTCTGGCAGCGCTGCAGGGCACCAACGACGAGATCGGCAAGCAGGCCATCCTCAAGCTCATGGCGGCGGTGGACGAATACATTCCAGAGCCCCAGCGGTCGCTGGACAAGCCGTTCTTGATGCCCATTGAAGACGTGTTCTCCATTCAAGTGAGTGCCATTGCATGGTGAGCGGTCTCCAAGCAGGCCATCCTCAAGCTCATGGCGGCGGTGGATGGGTACACTCCAGAGCCGCAGCGGTCACTTGACCAACCTTTTCTGATGCCCATTGAAGACGTGTTCTCCATTCAGGTAGGTGCTAGGGGTGTGAATGTGAATGTGAATGCATGGTCAGCAGCGCTGGCAGCGCTGGCAGCGCTGCAGGGCACCAACGACGAGATCGGCAAGCAGGCCATCCTCAAGCTCATGCCAGCAGTGGACAAGTACATCCCGAACCCCAGCGGTCGCTGGACTAGCCATTCCTCATGCCCATTGAGGACGTCTTCTCGATCCAGGTGGGTGTGTATGATGTGGGCGCTGGCACTGCATGATAAGATGCGTGTATGCACAGTCAGTTTGCTCCAAGCCACCATCCTCAAGCTCATGGCGGCGGTGGACGAGTACATCCCCGAACCCCAGCGGTCACTGGACAAGCCATTCCTCATGCCCATAGAAGACGTCTTTTCGATCCAAGTGCGTGCCAATAGCGCATGCTGAGTTGTTTCCAAGCGACAATCCTCAAGCTCATGGCGGCAGAGGGCGAGTACACCTCCGAGCATGAGTACATTCCTTGACTCAAGCAGTGCCTCCTTCACCCCATTGTGTCCCTGTCACAGTCGCTGTCACACTCTCGCAGGGCCGAGGCACAGTGGTGACGGGGCGAGTGGAGCAGGGGGTCATCAAAGTGGCGGACTCACAGAACGCCTCCTCTCCCCCCCTCCTCTCCCCCCACCCTTTTTTTCTACCCACAGGGCCGAGGCACAGTGGTGACAGGGCGAGTGGAGCAGGGCATCATCAAAGTGGGCGACGAAATCGAGATCGTGGGCATGAAGGTGCGACGGGGGGCTGTGGGTGCGAGGGGGGAGGGGAGTACAGGGAGAGGGAGGGAGGGGGGATAAATAGAGGGATGGACTGGACGGGAGGCTGTGAGGTGCTCTGGGGAGCTGTGGGCCGAGTGGAACAGGTGATCAGTCTATTTTTTAGGAGCCACAAAAATAGACTCCTCACGCATGGATTTTTGGAGGCGAGTGGAACAGTGGGCGACGAAATCGCGATTGTTGGCATGAAGGTGCGATTGGGGAGGGGGGGGGGCGGGGAGGGAGAGGATTAAGAAGGGTGTTCGGAGCTTGGGGGACTTGAAGGCGAATGGAGCAGCAGGGGATTATCACCATTGTGCACTTCGATTGCTTGCCCCCATCCTTCTTCCACACCCCTCATCCCTCTCCCCTCTCCCCTCTCCCCCCTCCCCCCTCCCCTCTCCCCTCTTCCCTCTCTCCTCTCCCCTCTCCCCTCTCCCCTCTCCCCCCTCCCCTCTCCCCTCTCCCCTCTCCCCCACCACCCATCTCTCTCCCCCCACCAGGCGGGCAATCCCACCAAGACGACGGTCACTGGAGTGGAGATGTTCAAGAAGATCCTGGACCAGGGGCAGGTGGGTGCTTGAAGGGAGGGGGGGCGGGCAGGTGGGTCGCAGGGGGGGGGCAGGTGGGTCGCAGGGGGGGGGGCAGGTGGGTCGCAGGGGGGGGGCAGGTGGGTCGCAGGGGGGGGGCAGGTGGGTCGCAGGGGGGGGGCAGGTGGGTCGCAGGGGGGGGGCAGGTGGGTCGCAGGGGGGGGGCAGGTGGGTCGCAGGGGGGGGGCAGGTGGGTCGCAGGGGGGGGGCAGGTGGGTCGCAGGGGGGGGGCAGGTGGGTCGCCGGGGGGGGGGCAGGTGGGTCGCAGGGGGGGGGCAGGTGGGTCGCAGGGGGGGGGCAGGTGGGTCGCAGGGGGGGGGGGCAGGTGGGTCGCAGGGGGGGGGGGCAGGTGGGTCGGACGGAGGGGGCAGGTGGGTGGCTGAAGGGGGGTAAGGAGGGAGGGTAGTAACTGGTGTGAGGAGAACTGCCAAGGTGACTGGTGTGGAAATGTTTAAGAAGCTCCTTGACCAGGGGAGCTGGAGCGGGAGCGGGCGGCACCCCCCTTGGGTGTCACCCCCCTTGTGGTATCAGCCCCCTTGGTCTCACCCCCCTTGTGGTGTCAGCCCCCTTGGTCTCAACCCCCTTGGTCTCACCCCCCTTGGTCTCAACCCCCTTGGTCTCAACCCCCTTGGTCTCACCCCCCTTGGTCTCAACCCCCTTGGTCTCAACCCCCTTGGTCTCACCCCCCTTGGTCTCAGCCCCCTTGGTCTCAACCCCCTTGGTCTCACCCCCCTTGGTCTCCCCCCCCCTTGGTTTCACCCCTTGGTCTCACCCCCTCGGTCTGACCCCTCTAGATTGTAAAGAGAACGTCCATGACTATTCACCGAAACCAGAAGAGTGGGTGGTTTAGCACATGCATTGTCTTTCCGTCCGCCCTTCTGTTCCCTCTCTGGCGCTGCAGGCAGGAGACAACGTGGGCCTGCTATTGAGAGGCCTTCGAGAATTCTCAGATACCTATCACTTCCCTCGCTTCTCTGGCGCTGCAGGCAGGAGACAGCGTGGGCCTGCTAATGAGAGGGCTCAAGCGCGAGGGCGTCCAAAGGGGGCAGGTGGCGTGCAGTGCAGGCCCGGGTCGAGTGAAACCTCTCAGAAGCTTCACTCTCTTCCTCCTCCTCCCTTGACCTTTCTCCTTCTGTGTTCACAGGCAGGAGACAACGTGGGCCTGCTCATGCGTGAGGAGTCTATTTTTGAGGCGCCTCAAAGATATTTCCTCCTCCTGTGTGCTTCAGGCAGGAGACAATGTGGGCCTGCTGATGAGAGGGCTCAAGTGCGAGGACGTGCAGAGAGGCAAGGTGGCATGCAAGCCCGGGTCCATCAAGACGTCTGAGAAGGTTCAGGCGGGGATCTACGTGCTGACGAAAGAGGAGGGCGGGCGGCACACAGCGTGCTTCCATCTTATCCCTTTTCTCCGTCCTCTTCCTCCTCATGTGTGCTTCAGGCCGGTCACAACGTGGGCCTCCTCATGCGTGAGGAGTCTATTTTTGAGGCGCCTCAAAGATATTTCCTCCTCCTGTGTGCTGCAGGCGGGTGACAATGTGGGCCTGCTGATGAGAGGGCTCAAGCGTGAGGACGTCCAAAGGGGCCAGGTGGCGTGCAAGCCTGGCTCCATCAAGACCTCGCAGAAGTTCCAGGCCGAGATCTACGTGCTGACCAAGGAGGAGGGCGGGCGGCACACGGCGTTCTTTTCCAACTACCGCCCGCAGTGCTACATGCGCACGGCGGATGTGACGGGCAAGGTGGTGCTGCCAGAGGAGGTGAAGATGGTTATGCCGGGGGACAATGTCAGCGCCACCTTCGAGCTGCTCTCCCCTGTGGCCATTGAAGCAGGTATGTGCGCCTGGTGTTGTCGAAGCAGGGGTGTGTGTGTCTTTGAGTCCACTCAAGTGTGACGGGCAAGGTGGTGCTGCCAGAGGAAGTCAAGATGCTGATGCCGGGGTACAATGTGACCGCCACATTTGAGCTGCTCTCCCTGGTTGCTATTGAAGCAGGTACGCCTCTTTTGCAGTCTGTTTCTCTCTATTTCCCAGTCTCCCTCTCCCTCTCCCTCTTCCTCTCTCTCTTCCTCTGCCTCTCTCTTCCTCTGCCTCTCTCTCTTCCTCTGCCTCTCTCTCTTCCTCTGCCTCTCTCTCTTCCTCTGCCTCTCTCTCTTCCTCTGCCTCTCCCTCTCCCTCTTCCTCTCTCTCTTCCTCTGCCTCTCCCTCTTCCTCTGCCTCTCTCCCTCTTCCTCTGCCTCTCTCCCTCTTCCTCTGCCTCTCTCCCTCTTCCTCTGCCTCTCTCCCTCTTCCTCTGCCTCTCTCTATTCCTCTGCCTCTCTCTCTCTTCCTCTGCCTCTCTCTCTCCTCTGCCTCTCTGCCTCTTCCTCTGCCTCTCTCCCTCTTCCTCTGCCTCTCTCTCTTCCTCTGCCTCTCTGCCTCTTCCTCTGCCTCTCTCTCTCTTCCTCTGCCTCTTTCTCTTCCTCTGCCACTCTCTCTTCCTCTGCCTCTCTCTCTTCCTCTGCCGCTCTCTCATCCTCTGCCTCTCTCCCTCTTCCTCTGCCTCTCTCCCTCTTCCTCTGCCTCTCTCTCTTCCTCTGCCTCTCTCCCTCTTCCTCTGCCTCTCTCTCTTCCTCTGCCTCTCTCTCTTCCTCTGCCTCTCTCTATTCCTCTGCCTCTCTCTCTTCCTCTGCCTCTCCCTCTTCCTCTGCCTCTCTCCCTCTTCCTCTGCCTCTCCCTCTTCCTCTGCCTCTCTCCCTCTTCCTCTGCCTCTCTCTCTTCGTCTGCCTCTCTCCCTCTTCCTCTGCCTCTCTCCCTCTTCCTCTGCCTCTCTCTCTTCCTCTGCCTCTCTCCCTCTTCCTCTGCCTCTCTCTCTTCCTCTGCCTCTCTCTCTTCCTCTGCCTCTCTCCCTCTTCCTCTGCCTCTCTCTATTCCTCTGCCTCTCTCTCTTCCTCTGCCTCTCCCTCTTCCTCTGCCTCTCTCCCTCTTCCTCTGCCTCTCCCTCTTCCTCTGCCTCTCTCCCTCTTCCTCTGCCTCTCTCTCTTCGTCTGCCTCTCTCCCTCTTCCTCTGCCTCTCTCCCTCTTCCTCTGCCTCTCTCTCTTCCTCTGCCTCTCTCCCTCTTCCTCTGCCTCTCTCTCTTCCTCTGTCCCTCTCTCTGTCCGCGGCTCTCTGTGTGAATGTGGGCATCCCTGTCTCGTAGGGTCGCCCGCTGTGCTGTGCTACCTGCAGTGGTAGGGGGGTCCGGGACTACCTCCTGCCTGCAGTGCTACCTGTGCACGGCGGGCATGGCGGGAGAGGTCGTGCTGCCAGACAACGCAAGATGGTCATGCTGGGTGACAGCATCATCTTGCCAACTGTCTGCCTAGCGACCTTAGAGCTGCTGTTGAAACAGTTGACGATGTGGTTGCCATTGAAGCGGTTGAGTGACTTTTGAGTCGACTCAAAAGTCAACTGTCTGCCAAGCGACCTTAGAGCTGCTGTTGAAACAGTTGACGATGTGGTTGCCATTGAAGCGGTTGAGTGACTTTTGAGTCGACTCAGAAGTCAACTGTCTGCCAAGCGACCTTAGAGCTGCTGTTGTAACAGTTGACGATGTGGTTGCCATTGAAGCGGTTGAGTGACTTTCGAGTCGACTCAGAAGTCAACTGTCTGCCAAGCGACCTTAGAGCTGCTGTTGTAACAGTTGACGATGTGGTTGCCATTGAAGCGGTTGAGTGACTTTTGAGTCGACTCAGAAGTCAACTGTCTGCCTAGCGACCATAGAGCTGCTGTTGAAACAGTTGACGATGTGGTTGCCATTGAAGCGGTCGCACTGTGGTTGTTGGGCTTCTTGTCTATTCTTCTGGCGCCTCAAAACTAGACCCTGCCTTTCCCCACCATGCACTGCTGTTCCCCCCCTCTGACCCCACTCCCCCCCTCTGACCCCACTCCCCCCCTCGGACTCCACTCTCCCCCTCTGACCCCACTCTTCACCCTCTGCAGGCCAGCGCTTTGCTTTGCGGGAGGGCGGTCGCACCGTGGGTGCTGGCGTGGTTGCAAAGCTTCTGGACTGAGATTGGGACTGCTTGTCAGTAGGTGGGCAGGTTGTTATTTTGAGAATTCTAAAAACCAACTTACGTCAGTCTGTAGGCAGGCAATGCAATTTGACCGGGCTGCTGTTTTGAGGTGCCTCGAAACCAGGCTGCTGTGTGCCCAGCAGAGTTGTGGAAATACAATGAAGCAGGAGAAGATGTGGGGTTGTAGCAGTGGACTTGGCGTTGGTATACTGCACAGCTGAGACGAATTTTGTGGGAATTTCGCTGGTCAGATCGTTTCTTGGCCTACCGGTAATACCCTAGGCCTCTCACTGCACTGCAGCTGCATAGTGATAGGTGTTACATAATTCTAGAAGAACGTATGGCTGTTTTGCTATGCTGTGTTGCTATACTTGCATTAACTCTATAACGAACAGCAATGACTACCTAGAGAAAATCATTAATCAGATTCATACAGGACAACACCCATTTTACAGTATTCGTTGTAGATTTGACAGCCTAAAACGATGTAGTTCTGGAAAGGCTAGACAGGTAAATACTCTTGTGCATTTCACCCTCCTGCTCAGAACCTCAGAGGTGCACTTTTCACGAAAACCGCAGCGGCGAGGGACAGTGCAAATTACAGCGCTTTCCTGCTGACAGAGCGGCTTGATGCCCCCTTGATTGGAGCCGAATCCGCAGCGGGATACAAGACCATTATCCAATTTCTTCCTCACAAAACCCCTGCAGTGGCTGCCGCAACTACAGCAGCAATGGCGAGTGCGTAACCGAGCGCGCTGCTGCTGCTGACACTGCCGCCCATCGCCCCCTTAGGTGGAGTAGCAGCAGCAGCAGACGCGGGGGGGGCAGAGCAGAAGGCGCACCGGTGGCATTCACAGCAGCGCCAACAGCCCCAGCGCCAGAACCAGCGAGGGTGCCGTTGGCAGGGGGGGCTGGGATCTTCCTTGGGATGCAGGTGTCGCAGAAGGTCGGGCAGGTCTCCAGGCAGAAGGTGTTGTTGCGGAAGGGGCGGGATATGCCGCACCCCGTGTTGTCAGGGGGGCAGGTGTGCTGTATGTCCACCCACCTGTAGGAAGGGGAGGGACAGTGAGAGAGGAAAGGTGGTTAGCGGCAGGGTGAAATAGAGGTCTCCGGGCAGAAGGTGTTGTTGCGGAAGGGGCGGGAGATGCCGCATCCGGTGTTGTCGGGGGGGCAGGTGTGCTGTATGTCCACCCACCTGTAGGAAGGGGAGGGAAGGCAGTTGGGGGGGGGGAGGGAGTGGGAGAAGGGGGGGAGGGAGTGGGAGAAAGGGGGGAGGGAGTGGGAGAAGGGGGGGAGGGAGTGGGAGAAGGGGGGGAGGGAGGGGGAGAAGGGGGGGAGGGAGTGGGAGAAGGGGGGAGGGGGGGGAGAAGGGGGGGAGGGGGTGGTGAAGAAGGGGGGGAGGGGGGGTGGTGAAGAAGGGGGGGAGGGGGGTGGTGAAGAAGGGGGGGAGGGGGGGGGTGAAGAAGGGGGGGAGGGGGGTGGTGAAGAAGGGGGGGAGGGGGGGTGGTGAAGAAGGGGGGGAGGGGGGTGGTGAAGAAGGGGGGGAGGGGGGGTGGTGAAGAAGGGGGGAGGGGGGGTGGTGAAGAAGGGGGGGAGGGGGGGTGGTGAAGAAGGGGGGAGGGGGGTGGTGAAGAAGGGGGGGAGGGGGGTGGTGAAGAAGGGGGAGGGGGGGTGGTGAAGAAGGGGGGGAGGGGGGGTGGTGAAGAAGGGGGGGAGGGGGGGTGGTGAAGAAGGGGGGAGGGGGGGGGTGAAGAAGGGGGGAGGGGGGGGTGAAGAAGGGGGGGAGGGGGGGTGGTGAAGAAGGGGGGGAGGGGGGGGGGTGAAGAAGGGGGGGAGGGGGGTGGTGAAGAAGGGGGGGAGGGGGGGGGTGAAGAAGGGGGGGAGGGGGGGGGTGAAGAAGGGGCAGGTCGCCGGGCAAAACGTGTTGTTGCGGAAGGGAAGGGGCGCGAGATGCCGCACCCGGCGCTCTCAGGGGGGCAGGTGCGTTGAATGCCCGCCCACATGGAAGTGAGAGGGGGAAGACAGGGGAGTGGGGGCGAGGTCGGATGGGAGAGGGCACAGACGTGTTGTTGCGGAAGGGGCAGGCGATGCCGCAGCTAGTGGTGTCAGGGAGGGCGGTGTGTTGAATGCCCACCCGACTATGAGCGGGAAAAGGGGAGGCGGAGGGGGAAGAGAAGGGGGGTGAAGAGGGATCGACCACATAATGTTTTGTTGTGGAAGGGACGGGACAGACTGTGGGTGTGCTAGCTGTATGTCTTCCCCCAGCTGGGAATGACAGGGAAAGAGAAGGAATGCGGGGGGTTAGAGGGAGAGTGAAATAGAGTGCAGGCAGAACAGAGTACGGAAAGGGGGTGGGGAACGTACAGGCAGGAAGGAAGGAGGGGGAGGGAGGAGCAAAAACCAAGCATATTCGTTACAGGCCAGTGTTTGCTGTGAACGAGGTATTCATTTTGCAGCTACAAGCATTCACCTTGCAAGTGAATGTTGGCAGGCGAGAAGGGAAGGGAAGTGCAGGTGAAAAAAAACAAGAACAAGGCTCGACTGACTTGCAAGTAGAGGTGTTCACTCATAAAGGCCAGTCAAAGCATGGAGTGCAACAATGCAATCCTGTAGGAAGCTTCTGAGAACTGCCCTTCTATCTCTACTGTCAGGAGCCATGGTGATGCAATGAGCGCAGCTTGTTCTGAGGCGTCTCGAGTGTGAGGAGTCGTCTATTTTTTAGGTGCCTCAAAAATAGGCGCCCAAAAAATGAGACGCCTCAAAACTGCCCTTCTAGCACACGGACGGAGCCATGGTGATGCGATGAGCTAAGCTGTGGTTTTGAGGCGACTCAAAACTGCACTTTTACCACACAAAGACACAAATGCAACCAATCCAGCTGGCAGCTGTCAACTGGGACCAATCGTGCATACACTGGTACTGCAGGGTGTTTTTTAGAATTCTCAAAAACCCTGAAACATGAATACAGCAACATGGGGCCTGGCGTATTTTCTTACAGGCCGGTCAGCAACAGGGAAGTCATCTTACCGACAGAGGGATGGCGTGTTCACTTACAGGCCGGTCAGGGCAGGAAAAGCACCAAAGCCAGCCGGTCAAGGCAGTTTCTGAGTCGATTTTTGAGGCGCCTCAAAAAACCAATTGTGCACTTTTACATAGGACTACACACTGGTACCTGAATACAGCACCATGGGGCCTGGCGTGTTCACTCACAGGCCGGTCAGTGCAGGGAAAGCACCGAAGCCAGCAGGCAGTGGACCGCTCAGCTGGTTGTTGCCAAGCTGGCTGGATGGGGCAGGGAGGGAGGGAGGGAGGGAGGGAGGGAGGGAGGGAGGGAGGGAGGGAGGGAGGGAGGGAGGGAGGGAGGGAGGGAGGGAGGGAGGGAGGGAGGGAGAGGGGGAGAAGGGGGGGTGGAAGGGGGTGTGAGGGAAGGGATTGCTGGGGCATTTCAAGCAGGCAGCTGGCCACTCAGCTGGTTGTTGCCGAATTGGCCGGATGGGGCAGGGAGGGCGGGATGCAGCAGAGGATTGAATGGATGGAGATGGAAAGGAAAGGAAAGGATAAACAAAACGAAAGAAAAGAAAAGAAAATACAGGAAAATATAAACAAAAATAGGAATTTGTTCATTGTGTGAGCATATTTTCAACGGAGACGCAAACTACGAAAACACAAAAACAAGGAGATTCGTGTCAAACCCTTGTATGCAGGTCCGCTGCACTCACAGCCATTGCAGCTGCACTCACAGCCATTGCAGCTGCTTCAGCTGGGAAAAGGAAGTAGGGATGGAGCCAGTGAGGTAGTTGTCGTTCAGCTGCCTGCGGGAGGAAAGGTAGGGGGGGGTAAGGTAGGAGGAAATGTAGTGAGGCAAGGTAGTGAGGCACAGAAGAGGCAGGAGTGTAAGCAGCACAACCAGGAGTTCGGCGGGCTATAGGCTGGTGTTAGGCGGGCGTTAGGGGGGAGCGTTAGGTGGGGGTGTTAGGCGGGGGTGTTAGGCGGGGGTGTTAGGCAGGGGTGTTTTGCCGGGGGGCGTTAGGCGGGCGTTAGGCGGGCGTTAGGTGGGGGGGCGTAAGGGTCGAGCAGGGGCGGGGAGGGGAGGAGGGTGGCAGGGGAGGGGAAGGGGGGAACGGGAGGGGGAGTAGGTGCAGTGCGGTACAGATGTTGCAGGTTGATTCGGCTCCGCAGTTCAGCAGGGGCTGGGAAAGGCCGGAGAGGGAGAGGAGAGGCGGTGGGAGGAGGTGGAGGGAGAGAGGAGAGGCGGGTGGGGCAAGCGAGGTGGGGGGAGGCGAGGTGGGGGAGGAGGGGGGGGGGGGGGAGAGGGGGAGAAGGTGCGTGGCGTTACAGGTACTGCAGGTTGATGAGGTGAAGTGCCCGTCTCAGCAGGAATGGATCCGGTGAAGTGGAGAAGGGAAGGGGGAGGTTGATGGAAGCTGGTAAGGTTGACAGTTAAAAGGAGGGTGCGGTACGTTGCGGCTTACAGGTATTGCAGGTTGACGAGGTTTCCGATCTCAGCAGGAATGGATCCCGTGAAGTGGTTGGACGCCAAGTCCCTGTGAGACGGAGGGGCAGGAGGGGCAGGAGGCGGAGGAAGGAGGAGGAGTGAGTTGAGGGCCCTAAAGCACCGATGAAGTATTTGGACGCCAAGCCTCTGAGAGACAGATGGGAAGGAGGGGCATGAGGCGCAGGAGAGAAGGAATTGGGACGAGAAGGCGAATGAAAAAAACACCGATTATATTCGCACCAGAAGCAGTAAGACTGGTTTTATTCGCAGCGAACTTCAACGTTTTCTGCTTCGCTCTTCATCCCGAGCAGAGTTCCTGGATTCTCGCGCTCTTTTCTTCGCACGATTGCGTGCCCGCAGTTACCCAGTGAAATTCCTGCTTCCAGTCTTCAAGTCCGTTTCTTTTTTGGACAGAGCTACCCTCCTTCAACACGCTTCTTCTCTTCGATAGACTTCGACTCGTGGCCCCCTTGTGCTGAAATGCCTGCTCAACCCGCTGGTTGACCGTTCACACTTGGGGTCTTTTTTTAGTCGACTCAAAAATCACCTACGGATATTGTCACACGAGACATTTGAAGATCGGCGTGCTATTATCGCGTGGAAGCTTCCGAAGCGTACAGGAAATTATTTAGTTTCAGCTAGAAAGTGTTAGGTGTAGCTACGCTTGTTTCATTTTTTCGAGCCTAGAGGTTCGGACTCCGAGAATTCCCTTGAGCCGCATTTTGGCCTTGGGAGGTTCCTGAGCTCCTGCCTATTTAGCCTTGCTCATTTGCTCTTTTGTGTATGGTCTGATGAAGGCAGCCACCTGCCGAAACTAGTTACCATCATTTTTGCCCTACAAATTCACGAGAGTTTTTCTGAGCAAGAATTTTTCTAAAACAACAGTGTTTTACCGCCCGCTGCCACGTATGGCTAAAACCACCACCAAGT